TAAATATATATATATATACACACACACTTTAAGTGATTAAGGCAGGCTTTTAAATACTGCATGGTTGAAGATTAACGTGGACCAACAATCCAATCTTTTTATAAAAATCCTACCGCAGATAAGACAGCCTTCAAGCCCTTCTTAAGAAGGGAGAATTGTTCATGATATTCAAAGCATTTCCAGTATAAAACACGTTGTTTTAGGAAAAAATCTTGATATTTATGAGTACTCTCCTCCTTTCAGTGAAACACAGAAGTAGGTCATTGCATTCTGATTCTACTTGAGAAAGAAGTAGCTATATATTCACTAATAATGACTTAATTTTAACAAGGAATTTTTTATGTTCCTATGGTTAATTCTTACTAATGGAATCTATTCAAAACAAGGATAAGTATCAAACTCAATTACTAGCTGAATTTTGTTTGGGGCAATACTATATGCCTCAAATTCTGTGCACTTTTAATACTGGTCAATAATAATAATGTGCCTTGATGATCTGCAAAGTTTTGTAGGATAACAGCATGAACAGCACTTGTCAATATTTAATATAAGTTTATGAAAAGTTTTAGATGCTATTTAAAAAGTAAATTGTTAGGTAAGACTTCACCAGCCATCTTCCCCACCTACAGTCAGTACAAATGATCCAAGCTCTAGCAAAAGTGTTTTAAGATTTTTTGCTTGTACCTCTGCTTTAACAGCTCTTTTCATACACTCTTGGCAGTCATCTTGACTCTTTTTTATAAGCTCTTCCAATTTTACTTTCTCATTAGCAAGTTTATTACTGTGAAATAAAAAGAAGTTAAATATTTGAGTAACATTTACAACAGAGTAGTATTTAAAATTTATGGCATTTTAGAGGTTTTCTACAGCTATTCTCTCTTCTTTGGAACCACCCATCTCCATTTACATTATACAGTTTGTGCCTTCAGGTATAGTATCATGCTTGTGTAGCCATACTGCTGGGTCCGCGGACACGACCTTGGGATTTCTTAACCACATTTCACTGTGCGACCTAAAATGCTGATAGGAGTTTGACTACTGCAGTCATGCAAGTAGTATTGTTCTGAGCTTGATCACATAGATAAAGAAAGTATCTATAAATCAAACCTTGACTTTATACTTATGTAATGAGTAACTGTTAGAAAATGTACATTTAGGACACTAAGCGTGTGAAGATCCAAAGCAACATACAACAGTTCAGTATGTCTGTACCACACCCAACTCCTAACACATTCTGAAACACAGTATTATATCATCAAGCGAAATGTATGAGAGTATGTTGAAAAGCCAGATTTTTATTATTCTAAGTATCAAAAAGAAAATAATATTTACTTATCCTAAGTAAAAGTAAACTAACTTAGAATAAGAGATACAGGGTAAAGTGCTTATTTTTTCTAAGTCTTTACCCAGAGTGAAGCAGCCAACTCCAATAATGGTAAGTCAGCAGAAAAATATAAACATTGCTGAAAGGTACAAGAGTTTTACCTGGTCTCGAGATATGTGTTTAAATATGTGTTATACTGCTTTTCCTTCTCATCAATGGTCTTCAAATACCTACAGTAATCAAACATTTATTAAGCTTGTTCTGAAAAACGGTCATTAGCAAATGCATAACACGTTCCTCTATAACTATAGTGATAACTATGCAGCAGTGACAATCCGCATGTTTTATATGCTGTTTAATACCGTAAGTGCATTTAAATGTATTCCTAATTAAGCAGTTACTAATATAAAAGCAGGTTGATGATTTTTCAAGAGAGATTTGGCCCAAACTACATAGAGGAAAGATAATACAGCAGCATTCAAGCACAGAAGTCTTCTCAGGTCTGTAAACTGAGAGAGAACATTAAAAATATGGTAGGAATTGACAAATCTGATTAGAAAAATTATTACTAAGTCAGTCAGTTTCATCAGTTATCTAGAAGCTTTTTTAAATGTTTACCTGTAACTTGCAAAAAAATCAAAACGTGAAAGCAGATGTACATATTTCAGCCTGTTACTGTGATAAAACATTTAACTGGTTACACAGCAATGATTAGGTTACTTAAAGATTTCTGAAGTCTTTAGAATGTTTCAATATACTGATAACACTTAATCAAACGACACACAATTTATATTTCAGTACATCAGTGGCGTGATCCCATGGATGCTTGTTGACTATGGTAGAAGTTGACTGAGGTTGCTTCTTGCTCCTCCACAGCCAGGAGAGCTCATTGCCAGGGGAACAACTGGGTTTGCTGCACCCAGGGTTACGATGGGATTCATACACTGGTGTTATTGATTTAAGTTCCACCGAAAGCCCTGCAGACTTCTGGTTTAGGGTGAAGGATGGGTAAAAAAAAACCCTCACAACAGATACTTGCAGTTTTACTTGAATCTGAGAAATGAGTGACAGGACTAGAAAAGAAGGAAACATGAATCCTTAGATGACCCTCAGATAAGCTATGTGGCAGAATAGACAAAAAGCCTGTAAGAAAAACAGATGCAGACCACAGTTTGATTGGGTTGCTTGTACAACAGAAGAATGAAGAATGAAAGTAGAAATTAAAATTTAAAGCTAATCATAATGCAGTAGAGGAGTACACTGAGAAAGCAATGGTAAGTCAGGAAAGAAGAAAGTGAAAAAGCAGTGCCGACCTAGAGGATTCAGGAAAATGTGGCAAGATCTTCAATAGTGAAGGAGTAGTATTCGTTAATTAGGTTAAATAATGTCTTATGTAGATCCTATTAACAGTAGCTCTAATCCAAGAATTGCATTTAACTCATTTCAGAACAACATAATTAGGGCAACATGTTCAAGTTTTCAGTCTGCATACACCATGGAATTGGTAGATACTGAAACTTATCATAGTCTATCACAAATAACTGTATTTAACTGCTGCTTTAAAAAAAAAAAAAAATCAAGCAAAGGTAAAGTAATGTAAATCTGTATTTAACATTAGTACCTATCATTGGTATCTATATGCTTTTTAGCTGTGTTCCTTAGTGCTTTTAAATTCTCTTGATTTTCTTTTTTCTCCTGTTGCCATTTTTTCACTTGTATATCTAAGTCTTGATTAAACCAATTCAGTTCATTCTTTGACACCTAAAAGCAGAAAATAAGAAAACATTATTTTTGAAAATACTATTTTATTCAAACCCAACTTAGAGCAGATTGCTGACACATGATCAAAAGCTAAGCCAGTGAAAATCTCAGTAACAAAGTTTTACTAGCACTTAATTTACTCTTAGTTCAGGTGTTTAGTGTGGGCAACACACTCATGAATGCTTTCCCACAACAATCCGCACACCTCATTTACGTGGCTTTGGATTACCTGCAACTCTGGTCTGCAGTCAGCTAAAGGAAGAAACCCAGTTCCACAGTGTCAGGTACAAATGCATACTGAAATACAATTCAAAATCCAGCTCAAAATCAGTACTGATACTGTTGTATCAGTACTAGCAACTGGGAAGTTACAATTTGTAACAGAGCAAAAGAGTGAAGTGAATCTTACAGCTGCTGTAACTGCTTAAAAAAAAATGAGGTACCATCAATGATTCATTGCGAAATATAAAAAAATATTTTTAAAAAAGTGCCTTCAATACCCATGGACAAGTTCATCCACCCTGCACACAGCCATGCTTTCAGCTCAAAACTTTTTTGAGTTCAAATTTTTACCAGATATTTGTACAGAAAAAACAGATGTGAGACTCCCTCATCCCTTATATGAAAGTTTGCCAGGCTACTTGCAGCCAGTGGTAAAGCTAGAACTCAGGAGCTCCCAAGCTGCAGCACATGAGTTTATTGCAACACACCACTGAAAGGAAAAAAATATATTAAACTGAGATTGAATGACAGGCCCCATCTTACTAAAGATTAAAGAGAGGGCATGGGGAGCGCAATGGCTTTGGTTTCACCTGATTTTTTTTTTTTTTTTAAATGGAAAAATTCCTTTTCGTGTAGACAAATGTGTATCCCGTAGCATCTAGAGCTTTAACTATAAAATTAATCCAGTCAAAGCGATAATAGGCTGATAGTGTTGTTTGGGGACCACTCCTCTTGCTTCCAGACATTTTCAAGGAAATAAAGCCTGTTAGCAAACCCAACAAACCAAGACAAAAGAAGGAGTCCGCAGTGTAGTGCTTTTTTGTTCTCGGGTTGAACGAAAACCAGTACCTATCCACTAGATTGAAGTAACTGATATCCTGTGTGTTGAAGCGTGCTGAAGGAAGATGTCACACAAAGATTGAGAAGTTTGCTGAGTTAGACTTCACAGCAATGAGGACAGCCAGTCAAGTTTCAAAAATGCTATTGCTCAGTTACAACCAATCTATTGACCACTGCAGTTTGTCCCACTGTCGCATGGTTAAAAACATTACCTCAGTCTCTTCAACACTTTTCTTTAGGAGCTCTTTTACAGCACTGATTTCCTCCGAGCTTCGGCTTTCTAACTGTTCATATTTTTCCTGTGCCTCTTTAAGTTGTTCTTTTAATACCTGATGCTCTTTTTCCATACGTAGAATATCTCCCTGAAAATAAACTAGTTACAAAAAACAATCTAATACCTGTTACCAGAGGGCAGCAAACGTTCACAATGTCTAAAAGGAACAGTCTGCTGCCAGTCGAGATTCAAAATCTTGAGTGTGGTTGGGGTGGGGTTTTTTTTGGTGGTGGTGGTTTGGGGGGGCTGGGGGTATTTAAGAGAAAGTTGTATAATAGTTTCAATCCAGCTCAGGAAATGAACATTCATGTCTGACTACGAATGGAATACGACTAGTTCAAAGGACACATTTTCTCACTTTTATCTCCTGGTATGGACATAAGACTGCCATTAGCATCAGTCTGAGCTGTCTATATGCCCAAATGGAGTATTTAAATTAAACCTCAAGATTTTTGGAGAGGAAATACTAAATTTCCTTAAAACATACTCCAACATCTGA